AAATTTCACATTTGAACCTTTGTAGATTTTAGAATGAACGCCGGTTCAAATAACGAGGCATCTGAAACAACACTGGAGAATTATTAAAATCTTATATAAGATTTCTGTGATCACGCCGCAGGCAATAGTTCGATTCCCATTACGTGGTCACCAGTCGTGATATTGATCTGATAACACTAGATGCCGTATACAGCGTCACTCACTCACTTACTTGATAGTGACGTCATGCTATTTGATGATCTGTAATGATCTCATAATGATCTGTAATGCATTGTGATGCGTTTTGTTGTAGCGATTTCTCGAAGGAGACATCACTTGATCTTGCTCAGACATCAGTTTCGGATAATAAAATAACATATTCTATTACAGCAAAAATGGCTTCTCCTCGAGATGCATCACGTGATGATACTGCTCTCCATGGTGCCTGCAGGCTGGGAAAATTCGACAAGGTGAGACAACTCCTGTTTGAGGGTCGAGTTGACATCAACAGCAGGCACCGCGGGAGGACACCTATACTGAAGGCAGCCTACAAGGGCCACAGAGACGTGCTGGACCTTCTGATCAGTACAGGATGTGACGTGTCACTGCCAGATGACGACGGTAACAACATCCTTCACGTGGCCTGTATGGGTGGGCATGTGAAGATAGTGAAGCATGTCATTAAGAATGACTTCGTGAGCATCAACAGTAGAGGACATTGCGGGAGAACACCATTGATGCTTGCAGCAAAGAATGGGCATAAAGAGGTCTTTGATCTCCTTCTGAGTAAAGGATGCGATGTGTCACTAGTGGATGGTGACGGCAACAACATCCTTCATCTGGCTTGTATTGGGCAGCATATGACGATAGTGAAGGATATCCTCTCACACGACATCATCGACGTCAACAGTAGAGAACAGAATGGACGGACGCCGCTGATGTTGGCGGCAACGAAGGGACATCACGAGGTGTTTGATTTGCTTGTCAACAAAGGAGCCGTTATGGCACTAGTGGATGACAACGGTAACAACATACTTCACCTTGCCTGTTTTGGAAGAAACGTGAAGATTGTGAACTTCGTTGTCTCTAGGAACATAGTGGACGTGAACAGCAGGGGAGAGCACGGGAGGACGCCACTGATGTTGGCGGCAATGAGGGGACACAGAGATGTCCTTGACCTTCTTGTGAGTGTAGGTGGCACTGTGGGGCTATTGGATCACCATGGTAACAACATCCTCCATTTGGCCTGTATCGGGGGCCTGTTAGAGATGGTCAAGCATGTCCTTTCACATTACATTGCGGACATCAAAAGTATGGGACAGAACGGGATGACCCCAGCCATGTTAGCTACGTGTTTTGATCATGAAGACGTGTACCACTTACTCGTGAACAGAGGAGCGAGAAAATCTGTTTCAGATGACATTTACACAACTAGAGATGTGAAGTGTTGATCCTCCATCGACTTCCACCATCACAACAGTATTTGACATTCTGCTGTGCTGTGCATTTTCTCATAACACTGACAAGAAAGATTGGCTTATATTGTGGGTGTGTGCAGATATATGTGGTTCACTTACGGACATTATTCTGGCACAGGACAAAAATGTATTGAGGGCGTATTCTGAAGTGTGTGGTACATTCTACCAACATAGGACAGGACAGTGGCGTGTATTGAGGGCGTATACTAAAGAGTGTGGTAAACATAGGACAGTGGCATGTATTTAGGGCGATTACTGAAATGTGTGGAACATTATACCAACATAGGACAGTGGCGTGTCTTGGGGGCGTATACTGATGTGTGTGGAACATTATACCAACATAGGACAGTGGCGTGTATTGAGGGCGTATACTGATGTGTGTGGTACATTCTACCAACATAGGACAGGACAGTGGCATGTATTGAGGGCGTATACTGAAGTGTGTGGTACTTAATACCAACATAGGACAAAACACAGTGCATGAATCCCCTGGTCTACAGATGTTGCGGAATGGCGTCATCGGATTGTGTATCGACAAAAGTAGAATAGTTCATATGAAACCAAGCTTACACAATACACATCATAAAATATCCTGCATCAAGTTTTGCTTGTTGACAAGTCTAGAGTGATATGTGTTGATAATTGTAGTTTTGGTTGTATGTTTAAAATGTTTTCAATACCATTGCAGCAAATGGTGAAAAGTGCTTGAACGTTCAAAAGACACTTAAGTTTGATGAATTAAGAAGATTCTGTATTCAGTGTTAAACGAGACCAGGACTAGCGAATTCCTTCACAAATTGCGTTCTGGAGGATACATATTTCCCTTGGTTATTCTGTATCCGTTTCACAGTTTGGAATATGCTTTTATAACATTTGAATTTGATATGTAGTGTTACAAATCAACATGTAGAAGGAAGCGTGGATTTCAGTGTGAAATTTCATTGGAATATGTGTATAGTTTCTCAGGATCATTACATGAAAGGCTGTGAAATCTGAAAGGTAGTGGCGTGAATTTAACAGGAGTAGTTACCTCGCTTGGTTGTTAGCAAACATGACAGAATTGATCGTTCTCGAGGTTTCGGGATGGGGCTGTTTCCAGAAGACTGGCTGTACCGATTCACGTTCGTTTCGATGTAACATTCATCTTCCTTTCTTACCAAGTGACAACGTACCCGGAGAACACAGAATTCCTGCCGGCTTCCAACACTATTCTGGATTCAAGAACTCACATCTTTCTGTTTCAAATCATACGGCAGTGTAATGCTTGACATTCGAGATTGCACAGAGACATTTTGTAGGACATGTTTCTCATTACTGCTGCCACACCCACTTTATAGCTTTATACGAATATAGACATAAACCTGTGTGTTACAGTAAATTGTAGTCTTTAATACTTGATCTTGTGTGGTTGTTTATTTATACTACTCACACTTTGATAAGGATCACAAAAATTCACAACTTTACTGAAACGTAGATTTATAATTTGAAATTGTATCCATTTAAAACTGGATAAATAATAACATGGCAATAGTTTGTTGAAATAGTAGCCGTCCATAATGTCCGGATAACATTTCTTTTGTTAGATTAAAGCCTGACAATAAATTTTGCTATCTTCAAGTTTTGTCCCAACACTATTCTTCTCATCGAATCTGTGTTTTCATCGTGATGGGCGTCAAACACAGACACATAGAGATACTGACAGAGGGACAGGCAGGCAGGCACTCTGGTTGTTTGCTTTGCAAAAACATCTAAGCATTGCCATGGCAACAAACGTTCTAGAATCTGTGCTTTACTAAGAAAGTGTAATCCCAAATGTAACATATGTTACATCTGACCACTTTCTAGCCGTTGTCAGTCAGGACGTGTTAAGGCTTTTCACACACTTTTTTAGACATAGTTTGCCGTAGTTTATTCTACAAATCACTCCCGATGCTTGCAGACATGACAAATTCATATTCGGAATTCAACTTCCATGAGTATCAACAAAACTCCGGTTTCGATTTCTTTCTACCTTTATGTCTCTTTCCTTTAGCAGAGTGTGTATTGATAAAACAAGAAAAGCGTCTGTAAAATCCTCCTCTAACCAAAACAAGATCCGCCAGTGAACATAATCCAGTGGTGTCCACCGTCAGTGCTTCTCCATATCGGTCCTACAGATACATCCATCCAGTCGTCAGACAGGTCGGTCACCATGTAATGGAAGGAGTTCAAGGTACACACGCGCGCACACGCACGCACACACTATTCGTCGATGTATTGATATGGAATGTGTTCAACTACAAACACAAACAAGTCGACATGGTATCTGATTCCTGGCAGCTAGCAGGTCCGTACAGCAGTGACTGGTGTATGTGATCATGGTACTAGTGATTATACCTACAATGCTACCTTGAGCATGCACTAGTGCGTGGATATGTGCGCTATATAAATATCCTATAATAATGATAATTACTGGGCTGTTTTGTATCAAAAGGTTTAACCTCAAGAATACAGGTACGAGATCCGCCGGATGTAGCCGGTCACGTGTAGAAGACTCCCAGGTCACGTGCTTTCATCGACACACATCGCTTCGGGTGGACTCAATACAGGGAGTAATTATTGTTTATCGCTGTAGCTGCCATATTCCTGTCACTGGCCCCTGAAAATACCCAGGACCACACAAACCAATGACTGAACACTCGGCACCCTGTATACCCTCTGTAGCAAAACGTTTGGGGTGTTTGGGAACCGATTCTGGAGGTCTTATAGATCGTTGTTGCTTTTTCTGCTCTCAGATATATGACCGTGTAGTGACTATGTCCATGTATTTTTATTTTACTTGTTGTTTAACGACGCATGCAGCAATATTCCAGCTGTAAATAATCGAGCCTGGACCAGACAATTCAGTGATTGAGATCGGCATCGGTCTGCACACATTATGATACAGCGTCATGCATCAGCCAAGCCAGCGAGCCAGACCACCCGATCTCTTTAGTCGCCTCTTACAACAAGCAACTGCTGCTGAAGACCTTCTAAGCCGGATCTTCAGAGGTCGTAGTGGGTATGGGTGAGATGGATGGACGGGAAACGTACGCCATTAATAGCGACGTTTGGATACAGATCGGAGCATTGTGTTCAAGCAAGTATGTTCATGGTTGGTTACGTCTCCACGAATTTCTTCGAGAGGCATTTAGAAGCTTCAGTACTGAGTCAGGAATAATACACCTATGAACGAATTCATTACTACAAAAATTTTGATGCTGCAGCGTACCTACACCGCAAATACCCTCCTAATAGCAATAAAAAAGTCGTTCAGCAATCAGCTAATCAAACAGAACAGAACAATATATCTTATCCTTACTTGGAACTGAAATTTTGAAGTCTGGAGCAAACAATCCAGTGATGGATATCAAGAGAAACGATACGCACAGGCAGGATACGATGACTTCAACCAAGGGTATCGAGCCAATCCCGTCATCCTTACAACAAGCATTGAGCCGAGCTCTAAAAGGGGGGTCTTCAGTTGGGCATCCAGATTTAGGAATATACAAAACAAACAGAGGATATATGGAAACATTTTACTTATTTTACAGTACAAAAATTAACAACAGAATGTAAAAATATAGTGAATAAATTCTGCATAATGGAAAGTCGTGATGTGGTACAAACACAAACTCCCGCCATATAAAGTAGAACTACGGTGCCGGGTAATGCTGTTTGGTGGTTTGGTAAAGTATCCTTAAAATCAGATATTTAATATTACAGTTCTGAAGACCTCCGTGTCTTTCCAATCCTTATATTGCGGTGGACGATGTTGATTGGATGGTTCAATTCGTGGCATATACACATATATCACAGATACCGGGGGATCTCACGTCGGTACATGTAGACAGTAGAGGATACAGAGTAGGAGGGAACCACACTTCCGGTGATACAACAATAATATATAAACAAGGGAAACATGTTTGTTTCGTTGATTATTGTTTAACTCCACATTAAGAAAGCCAACATATATGACGGACGTTTGAAAACAACAGAGTCTGGACCAGTGGTTGACATAATGAGCATCGATATCCAGCAGCAGGATACGACAACATGCATCACGAGACAGAACATGCAAAAGTGTATGACACTCGCTTCTCAAACTGATATCCGTCTCATATATATACATCTCGGTGCACAAGCGGCACGGTACATTGTTATGTGATTCGTTACACTCTAGAGTTATAAAAAACAGAATAGACAAGATCGCAGACGTACAAAAAAAGGATTTCAAACACTCGACACAAAAACCCGCCTGCAAAATGCTGAGGTCGATCAGGAAATGTAGAAACTATGTCTGTTTCATATGTTATTTATGCGAGCTCAACTTGGGCATAACAGGAAACTGCTTAAATACCTTGAATACTGTTACATCCGGGCTTGCCTGCACGTGCGATCAATTATGGGGAAAACATCGATGCTTATGGATAATTTGTTAATTGTTTTCATTTGCGAAATAGCCAAACTATTTTGTATATACAGTATATACAGGTTACATTAACCCAATTGACAGGATACTTCAGTATAACAACATACATGGGAGCAAATCACGTACTTCTGTATAGGACCCATAACCGCACTATAGCGGGGACACTCGGTCGACAGTCCGGCCCTCTGCTTCAAGAGCGGCAGCCATCATGCGCCAACACGACTCCTGTACAGCTTCTTTAAATAACGTTCTGACAACAAGTGATATATTTGGTCGCGTTCCAACCAGGTATATATTGTAACAGTTGCGTTTGTTGGTTTGTAGTTCAACGCCGTACACTGCGATATTCCAGCAACACTGTCGGCGGTCTGTTACTAATCGAGTCTGGACCAGACAATCAGGTGATTGATACTGTGGGCAACAACCCACATCGTCATTGTGTGAAGATACGCAATCATCCGAGTCACCGTGCCAAACCTCTCCATCCTGGTCGCCTGTTACGACAAGCAGGGGGCTGCTGGACAAGACGTCTAACCCAGAATCCCCAGGAACGCTTGATAACAGAAGGTTTAGTTTGGTTGTTGTTTAACGCCGGTATCAGCAATGTTCCAGCTATATGGCGGCGGTTTGTGCATAACCCAGGCCGGGTCAGACAATCAAGTGATCAACAGAAGGAGCAACGGTCTAGGATTAGATGATATGTGTCAGTTCAGTCAGCGAGTCTGATCAACCGATCTCGTTAGTCGCCTCTTACGACAACATAAGGACAAACACAAGTAAAACAGAACAACCATGGAGTGAACACTTTCTCAGCCCGGTCCTGATTGGGTCTGTCCACTTGCAATGGACGCACGGACACTCATATGCACTAGTCAGATCGTTAACGAATGCTGAAACGTTGATGAAGTACAGAACATGATGAAGCTGCTGTTCATGATGATGACGATGACGTTGTGGTAGTTGTATTAGTAGTCATAATCATAATCATCGTTTTTCTTCTTCTCCTTACAACACACTATACAGGCGAAGATGATCATCAGGAGCTGCGAAAGAAAAGAGTCAGTGAGTGAGTGAATGAGTGGCTGGGTGAGTGAGTGAGTGAGTGAGCGGCTGGGTGAGCGAGTGAGGGAGTGAGGGAGAGAGTGAGTGGCTGGGAGAGCGAGTGAGTGAGTGAATGAGTGGCTGGGTGAGTGAGTGAGTGAGTGAGTGAGCGGCTGGGAGAGCGAGTGAGTGAGTGAGGGAGTGAGTGAGTGGCTGGGTGAGTGAGTGAGTGTGTGAGTGAGTGAGTGAGTGGCTGGGAGAGCGAGTGAGTGAGTGAGGGAGTGAGTGAGTGGCTGGGTGAGTGAGTGAGTGAGTGAGTGAGCGGCTGGGAGAGCGAGTGAGTGAGTGAGGGAGTGAGTGAGTGGCTGGGTGAGTGAGTGAGTGAGGTGGTCTTCACTCCGCTTTAACCAGTAGTCTAGTATGATCAGAGGTTGCCAGCCTGATGCTGGAGGTAGATTGCTAGTAACAGAGGCAGTAGAACTGTACCATGCAGGTGTATGGTACTGAATAATGACAATAACAATAATAATACAGCCTGACTGTGTCAGGTGCGCCCAAACTGCTGCATTTGTCATCTTAATCTGTAAAATTTAATATAGACAACATCCCTTATAACAATAAATCTGGTATTCGAAGCCACTGTTGAGGCTCATCGTAGGTACTTAACTATGAACTGTTCTGTAACCCCCAACCCCCACTTGCCAACCTCAACCCCCAACCCCCATCCCCAAACCCCCATCCCTGACCTCAATCCTTCATCCCCAAACCTCAAACCCCAGCCCCCACCTCCATCCCCAACCCCCAACCTCCATCCTCTATCCCCAACCTCCATCCTCCATCCCCATCCTCCATCCTCCATCCCCAACCTCCATCCTCCAACCACCAACCTCCATCCACTATCCCCAACCTCCATCCTCCAGCCCCCAACCTCCATCCCCCAACCCCCAACCTCCATCCTCTATCCCCCAACCTCCATCCTCCAACCACCAACCTCCATCCACTATCCCCAACCTCCATCCTCCAACCCCAACCTCCATCCCCAACCCCCAACCTCCATCCTCCATCCCCAACCTCCATCCTCCAACCACCAACCTCCATCCACTATCCCCCAACCTCCATCCTCCAACCCCCAACCTCCATCCTCCAACCCCCAACCTCCATCCTTCATCCCCCAACCTCCATCCTCCATCCCCCAACCTCCACCCTCCATCCCCAACCTCCATCCTCCATCCCCCAACCTCCATCCTCCAACCCCCAACCTCCATCCCCATCCCCAACCTCCATCCTCTATCCCCAACCTCCATCCTCCATCCCCAACCTCCATCCCCATCCCCCATCCTCCATCCTCCAACCTCCAACCTCCAACCTCCAACCTCCAACCTCCAACCAAATGAGGATCTGGTTAGTACGTGACATTTCATGCTAAGTGCAGTGCTGAAAACAAAATTCACCCCGACCCTATCATTAATATTAATTATAACTGAACATTTGCTATCAGACAGGTGTGAAGGTCATTTTAAACCTCCGAATGACCAGTACACGTTTACAGCTTACCTCCACAACAACGACACCCACTCCAACGCCGATTATGATGTTGCTGTTGTCGTTGATGATGTCCCAGATAGCCTGGTAGCAGCCCTGGAAAACAAGTAACCATAGTGAGCAGGTCAGGGATCAGGGCATCACGTGTGTTAGATTATGTGAGTACTGAGCCGACTAGTCCTGGGTTCGAATCCCTGACTTGCCAGTATTGTGTTTCCAGACAAGTCAGCACCATAACCATACATGCAGTGATCTCTAGGGCTGGCTAAAACGATTGACAATCGGAAATGTCGTCGACAGAAAAAAATGTTAATGTTGAAAAATGTGTTATCGATAATATCGTACAAAAATGTTGCGATAAAATTAAATTTTAATTTGCTCACACAATACACAAAGTTAGATCTTTATTCATGGGCTGCTTCTAGTTATGTTCAGGGTTGTTACACTACCTTGTCTATCTATGAGGGAGTCGTTACACTACCTTGTCTATCTATGAGATGGTTGTAACACTACCATGTCTATCTATGAGAGAGTCGTTACACTACCTTGTCTATCTATGAGAGAGACGCTACACTACCTTGCCTATCTCTCAGATGGCTGTTACACTACCTTGTCTATCTTTGAGATGGTTGTTACACTTCCTTGTCTATCTATGAGATGGTTATTACACTACCTTGCCTATCTATGAGATGGTTGTTAAACTACCTTGTCTATCTATGAGAGAGTCGTTACACTACCTTGTCTATCTATGAGACAGTCGCTACACTACCTTGCCTATCTCTGAGATGGCTGTTACACTACCTTGTCTATCTTTGAGATGGTTGTTACACTTCCTTGTCTATCTATGAGATGGTTATTACACTACCTTGCCTATCTTTGAGATGGTTGTTACACTTCCTTGTCTATCTATGAGATGGTTATTACACTACCTTGCCTATCTATGAGATGGTTGTTAAACTACCTTGTCTATCTATGAGAGAGTCGTTACACTACCTTGTCTATCTATGAGAGAGACGCTACACTACCTTGCCTATCTCTGAGATGGTTGTTACACTACCTTGTCTATCTATGAGATGGTTGTTACACTACCTTGTCTATCTATGAGATGGTTATTACACTACCTTGCCTATCTATGAGATGGTTGTTACACTACCTTGCCTATCTATGAGATGGTTGTTACACTACCTTGTCTATCTATGAGATGGTTGTTACACTACCTTGTCTATCTATGAGATGGTTGTTACACTACCTTGTCTATCTATGAGATGGTTGTTACACTACCTTGTCTATCTATGAGATGGTTGTTACACTACCTTGTCTATCTATGAGATGGTTGTTACACTACCTTGTCTATCTATGAGATGGTTGTTACACTACCTTGTCTATCTATGAGATGGTTGTTACACTACCTTGCCTATCTATGAGATGATTGTTACACTTGTTACACTACCTTGTTACTACCTCTCTATCTATGAGATGGTTGTTACACTACCTTGCCTATCTATGAGATGGTTGTTACACTACCTTGCCTATCTATGAGATGGTTGTTACACTACCTTGTCTATCTATGAGATGGTTGTTACACTACCTTGCCTATCTATGAGATGGTTGTTACACTACCTTGTCTATCTATGAGATGGTTGTTACACTACCTTGTCTATCTATGAGATGGTTGTTACACTACCTTGTCTATCTATGAGATGGTTGTTACACTACCTTGTCTATCTATGAGATGGTTGTTACACTACCTTGTCTATCTATGAGATGGTTGTTACACTACCTTGCCTATCTATGAGATGGTTGTTACACTACCTTGCCTATCTATGAGATGGTTGTTACACTACCTTGCCTATCTATGAGATGGTTGTTACACTACCTTGCCTATCTATGAGATGGTTATTACACTACCTTGTCTATCTATGAGATGGTTGTTACACTACCTTGCCTATCTATGAGATGGTTGTTACACTACCTTGCTTATCTATGAGATGGTTGTTACACTACCTTGCCTATCTATGAGATGGTTGTTACACTACCTTGCTTATCTATGAGATGGTTGTTACACTACCTTGCCTATCTATGAGAGGTTGTTTGTTACACACTACCTTGCCTATCTATGAGAGATGGTTGTTACACTACCTTGTCTATCTATGAGATGGTTGTTACACTACCTTGTCTATCTATGAGATGGTTGTTACACTACCTTGTCTATCTATGAGATGGTTGTTACACTACCTTGTCTATCTATGAGATGGTTACCTTGTCTATCTATGAGATGGTTGTTACACTACCTTGTCTATCTATGAGATGGTTGTTACACTACCTTGTCTATCTATGAGATGGTTGGTTGTTACACTACCTTGTCTATCTATGAGATGGTTGTTACACTACCTTGTCTATCTATGAGATGGTTATTACACTACCTTGTCTATCTATGAGATGGTTGTTACACTACCTTGTCTATCTATGAGATGGTTGTTACACTACCTTGTCTATCTATGAGATGGTTGTTACACTACCTTGTCTATGAGATGGTTGTTACACTACCTTGCCTATCTATGAGATGGTTGTTACACTACCTTGTCTATCTATGATGAGATGGTTGTTACACTACCTTGTCTATCTATGAGATGGTTGTTACACTACCTTGTCTATCTATGAGATGGTTGTTACACTACCTTGTCTATCTATGAGATGGTTGTTACACTACCTTGTCTATCTATGAGATGGTTGTTACACTACCTTGTCTATCTATGAGATGGTTGTTACACTACCTTGTCTATCTATGAGATGGTTGTTACACTACCTTGTCTATCTATGAGATGGTTGTTACACTACCTTGTCTATCTATGAGATGGTTGTTACACTACCTTGTCTATTGCTTATCTTGTCTGATGGTTGTTACACTACCTGGAGGTTGTTACACTACCTTGCCTATCTATGAGATGGTTGTTACACTACCTTGCTTATCTATGAGGTGGTTGTTACACTACCTTGCCTATCTATGAGATGGTTGTTACACTACCTTGTCTATCTATGAGATGGCTGTTACACTACCTTGTCTATCTATGAGATGGTTGTTACACTACCTTGTCTATCAGATGGTTGTTACACTACCTTGCCTATCTATGAGATGGTTGTTACACTACCTTGTCTATCTATGAGATGGTTGTTACACTACCTTGTCTATCTATGAGATGGTTATTACACTACCTTGTCTATATTGGACAGTGCTGATGTCGGGTCTGTGGCACACGTGAAGTCTGACGGCAGCTGTATGTTGGGGAAAGTTCCATTCAGTTTGCAGCAGGCGATGGGGGCTTGTAGGGTAAAGGTGTTGTTAGTTTGTTTTGGTGTATATTCATTATTCCACTTCTTTGCACTCTGGAAATCCGTGTAGTTGTCTACTCCGCAGCATTTAAACTGAAACACAATAACACGTGATGTGAACGATACACACATACTGGGTGAACTATATATACAAATATGGGGTGAACTGCACAAACTGTGAACTGTGAGCGCAAATATGGGGTGAACTATAGACGCATATGGGGTGAACTACACAAACACATGCACGCGCACGCTCACGCGCACACACGCATGCACAAAAGCACGAGCGCACACACACACGATGTAAACACGAACATGGGTACTTCCATAGTTCTATATGGTGTTGTAGTATACACATTTGACTGTAGTAAAGTTTTGTAGTAAAGCCAGATGGTTAAAGTGCAGTATGGAAGTGCTGTAGTAGTACAGTGTTATAGCATAGTGTTGCAGTATAGTGTTAAGGTTATAGTAAAGTGATGTAGCATAGTGTTGCAGTATAGTGTTAAGGTTGTAGTAAAGTGATGTAGCATAGTGTTGCAGTATAGTATTAAGGTTGTAGTAAGGTGATGTAGCATAGTGTTGCAGTATAGTGTTAAGGTTGTAGTACACTGTTAAAGCATAGTGTTGCCGTATAGTGTTAAGGTTGTAGCAAAGTGATGTAGCTTAGTGTTGCAGTATAGTGTTAAGGTTGTAGTAAGGTGATGTAGCATAGTGTTGCAGTATAGTGTTAAGGTTGTAGTACACTGTTATAGCATAGTGTTGCCGTATAGTGTTAAGGTTGTAGTAAAGTGATGTAGCATAGTGTTGCAGTATAGTGTAAAGGTTGTAGTAAGGTGATGTAGCATAGTGTTGCAGTATAGTGTTAAGGTTGTAGTACACTGTTATAGCATAGTGTTGCCGTATAGTGTTAAGGTTGTAGTAAAGTGATGTAGCATAGTGTTGCAGTATAGTGTAAAGGTTGTAGTAAAGTGATGTAGCATAGTGTTGCAGTATAGTGTTAAGGTTGTAGTAAGGTGATGTAGCATAGTGTTGCAGTATAGTGTTAAGGTTGTAGTACACTGTTATAGCATAGTGTTGCCGTATAGTGTTAAGGTTGTAGTAAAGTGATGTAGCATAGTGTTGCAGTATAGTGTAAAGGTTGTAGTAAAGTGATGTAGCATAGTGTTGCAGTATAGTGTTAAGGTTGTAGTAAAGTGATGTAGCATAGTGTTGCAGTATAGTGTTAAGGTTGTAGTAAAGTGATATAGCATAGTGTTGCCGTATAGTGTTAAGGTTGTAGTAAAGTGATGTAGCATAGTGTTGCAGTATAGTGTAAAGGTTGTAGTAAAGTGATGTAGCATAGTGTTGCCGTATAGTGTTAAGGTTGTAGTAAGGTGATGTAGCATAGTGTTGCAGTATAGTGTTAAGGTTGTAGTACACTGCTATAGCATAGTGTTGCCGTATAGTGTTAAGGTTGTAGTAAAGTGATGTAGCATAGTGTTGCCGTATAGTGTAAAGGTTGTAGTAAGGTGATGTAGCATAGTGTTGCAGTATAGTATTAAGGTTGTAGTAAAGTGATGTAGCATAGTGTTGCAGTATAGTGTTAAGGTTGTAGTACACTGTTATAGCATAGTGTTGCCGTATAGTGTTAAGGTTGTAGCAAAGTGATGTAGCATAGTGTTGCAGTATAATGTTAAGGTTGTAGTAAGGTGATGTAGCATAGTGTTGCAGTATAGTGTTAAGGTTGTAGTACACTGTTATAGCATAGTGTTGCCGTATAGTGTTAAGGTTGTAGTAAAGTGATGTAGCATAGTGTTGCAGTATAGTGTAAAGGTTGTAGTAAAGTGATGTAGCATAGTGTTGCAGTATAGTGTTAAGGTTGTAGTACACTGTTATAGCATAGTGTTGCCGTATAGTGTTAAGGTTGTAGTAAAGTGATGTAGCATAGTGTTGCAGTATAGTGTTAAGGTTGTAGTAAGGTGATGTAGCATAGTGTTGCCGTATAGTGTTAAGGTTGTAGTACACTGTTATAGCATAGTGTTGCCGTATAGTGTTAAGGTTGTAGTAAGGTGATGTAGCATAGTGTTGCAGTATAGTGTTAAGGTTGTAGTACACTGTTATAGCATAGTGTTGCCGTATAGTGTTAAGGTTGTAGTAAAGTGATGTAGCATAGTGTTGCAGTATAGTGTAAAGGTTGTAGTAAGGTGATGTAGCATAGTGTTGCAGTATAGTGTTAAGGTTGTAGTACACTGTTATAGCATAGTGTTGCCGTATAGTGTTAAGGTTGTAGTAAAGTGATGTAGCATAGTGTTGCAGTATAGTGTTAAGGTTGTAGTAAGGTGATGTAGCATAGTGTTGCAGTATATTGTTAAGGTTGTAGTAAAGTGATGTAGAAAATAACATACAGTACAACCAGAGATTATTGAGAATTTGAGATTGTAATTTTTATTTTTTTTCACACATTACTCACGTATTAAATGTGAATATTAGCAGAACATAACTCCAGATTCAAAGACAGGTGAACAGGGATAAATCTACCCCCGCGTCCCGCGTCTCTGACGCAATAAATTCTGACAGGACTCACATTTTTTTTACATGTGCGTCCCCTTCGACGCAAGCTTTTGATGAAACACTAATGTTTATTTTTGTGGAGAGGCAATATCAAAGTATACATAGCTAAATCTTCGTAGATTAACTTCCATTCTCAAACAAATGACGTGAGCTTATAAGTACACATTATTTTTAAAACGATCACAGCTTTCATTCGTCATGATATCAAGTTCATTTCCTCGTTTCCAAAAATAGACATCTAGGTCACACCAAGGGAGGTAAGCGGTATGCAAATGAGATCCCAAGATTCATTGCTCGAGCATGTGCAAAACTACTAACCTAGTTTTACTCTCTATAAATAGACACAAACAAGCTAAGGGAGGTAAGCGATATGCAAATGAGGTTTATCAAGACAATCTGATTGGTCAATGAACATTGTGACTCTGAATCCAAAATCTGAGCTCTCAGTACCAGTTAGAGAAAAGCAGGTAGCTTTAGTCAGTAGCTGAACGACTGTTAAATCTATCTGCGTGTAATTTGAAAGTGAAAGTGACATTTGACAGAGTTAAAGTTCTGCTAAAAAAGAATGTCATTCTGTTGTTTAAGGTTCTGAATCTCAAGTCCTGGAAAAGTAATCATATAAATGAATCATTTCATTTATAATTATGATGACATTTATGATATAATAAGACAGTTACTATTTGTGTTCATACTTGTTAAATTGGCTTCCAGTTGGCATATTTCTTTTGATGTAATTTGTTTTTGAATCAATGAACAGAGTGAAGAAACAAAGCAAAACTTTGGTTTGAATTGTAGAACATTATTCACAAAATATTACAGTGAAATTACATGGGTTTGGCTAGTAACCTTTTTATTTTTCTAGTAAAAGAAAACATTTGCTTGTCAAAGGTCATGAAGAGCTCTGCTGTTATTTTTATAATATAGCAATCCACATGCTGCCCAGATAGATACTGTCAGAAAACACAAAGTTAGGACCTTTCAGTCAGGTTGGCCGATTATTCACCGGTTATGGCTGACTTATGACAGGAAAGGTGATTTGATATTTTGTAACCTATGTACTGAAAATGGTATGACACAAGATGCTAAATGCAGAAATATCCCAGACCGGTCAGACTCACCTGTGCAACCTATAGTAACAATAAACCAGTTTGAATAATATTTGTGGCATTAATTTTTGTTAAGGACTCATAAAAGTTCTGAGGGACTCATAGTTATTCAGCTCAGTGAGTCCCGGGACTCAGGCAGTTGAATTTGTAGATTTATCACTGGGTGAACAGTTAGTAATCTGCCAAGTCACCATGAGCAGCAATGCAGGCTTCAATGCGGCGGGGCATACTACTGATCAAATAAGTTAGAAAGTCGTGGTCCATGCTGTCCCAATATCGGACCACCTCTTCTTTCATTTCAGCAATATTTGTCAGATTTTTCTTATCGACACTTTCCTACCTAAGTCTCCAAACATTTTCTATTGGATTTATTGGCTATAGCTTGGCCAGTCTAATAATGTCTTTTGGGTCCGAAACCAGGCCTGTGAATGCTTTGAACGATATTTTGGGTCGTTGTCCTGCTGCAAAATTTCCATAGAACACGTGAGCAGATGGAAGTAAATGTCCCTCGAGAATATCTGTGTACCGCTCACTGTTCATATTCCCTTCAAATACACAGAGGGACGTTGCCCCTAACACAGATATGCCACCCCACACGTTAAATTTCGGACTGTACTTTGGGCGCTGATTCAAAGGTTTTTCAGTTTGTTTGATCCAGAATTTAAGTGTATTAGGAAACAGCCACACAGAACTTTCATCTGAGGAAATCACATTGTCCCAGTTAATATTTCTATGATGTAAGCACCAGTTCAACCTTCGCTCCTTTTGTTCAGGTTTCATGATCGGTGATAGAATTCCTCGACTTTTCTGATAACCCATTGCATGCAGCTCAGTTCTAATTGTCTCCTTACAGACAGCCACAGTTCCTCTATCAATCATATCCAGCCTTAAGTTTTCTAAACCCCGTCGTTTGTTTTTAGAAACAAGAATACCAAGCCGCCTCCTGTCACCGACAGTCAATTTTCTGGGCCTACCTGCGCCTCCCTGGTGCTCAATGCCATATCCATTTGCAATATTTTTCAAAACACTATAAACAGTGGGCAAAGGGATGCCTATTCTACTTGAAATCACTTTAGCTGATCTTATGTCCTTGTTATAATACTCAATCAACTTCCTCTTCTCTAAATTATCCATGCTGAGGATCACTGAAAATGTCGTCTGCTAGCAGGTAAACAAAGGGGGATAACTGTTCACAAGCTAATGAAAAAGGATTAACGGAGTAATCTCTCTTGAATGAAACCAATCACTTGATAGCTGGTCAAGGTTGTTTATACTAGAAATCCAATTAAACATATTCCTAAAATTCTCAATAATTTCTGGTCATACTATACATGTATGGTGCTGGAGCAAAGAATTATAGCATAGTGTTGTAGAATACTAATGTAGTATACTGATACACGGTGCTGTAACGTAATGCTGTAGTATAGTGATGTATGGTGTAGTAACGTAGTGCTGTAGTATAGTGATGTATGGTGTAGTAACGTAGTGCTGTAGTATAGTGATGTATGGTGTAGTAACGTAGTGCTGTAGTATAGTGATGTATGGTGTAGTAACGTAGTGCTGTAGTATAGTGATGTATGGTGTAGTAGCGCAGTGCTGTAGTATAGTGATGTATGGTGTAGTAAGCGTAGTGCTGTAGTATAGTGATGTATGGTGTAGTAACGTAGTGCTGTAGTATAGTGATGTATGGTGTAGTAACGTAGTGCTGTAGTATAGTGATGTGTAGGGTGTGCTGTAGTATAGTGATGTATGCAGTGCTGTAGTATAGTGATGGTATGTGTGTGTATGGTGTAAACGTAGTGCTGTAGTATAGTGATGTATGGTGTAGTAACATAGTGCTGTAGTATAGTGATGTATGGTGTAGTAACGTAGTGCTGTAGTATAGTGATGTATTGTGTAGTAACAGTGCTGTAGTATAGTGATGTATTGTGTAGTAACATAGTGCTGTAGTATAGTGATGTATGGTGTAGTAACTTAGTGCTGTAGTATAGTGATGTAGTGTGTAGTAACATAGTGTAGTGTAGTAACGTAGTGCTGTAGTATAGTGATGTATGGTGTAGTAACGTAGTGCTGTAGTATAGTGATGTATTGTGTAGTAACGTAGTGCTGTAGTATAGTGATGTATGGTGTAGTAACGTAGTGCTGTAGTATAGTGATGTATGGTGTAGTAACGTAGTGCTGTAGTATGAAACTGGATCCTTCAGCCCTCGTATCGTAAGCGAACTACACTACAGTGTTGTGATAGGTCGTAATGCTACAAAATGTTTGTGGATCGAAACAGTGTGGCATATTAGGTCAGTGGGGTACTCACATTGACCATAGCGAAGTTCCAGCCGAGGGACACCAGGTCGGTGCTGTTGAAGCCTCCGTAGCTATCTGTGATTGATGTCTTCATTGGCCCTTTGATGTTGTCGTCCACCTACAAAACACAAGTGCAAGTTGTCATCTCACAAGCTTTGTGTGGTAAGCTCTGAAGGTGGCCTTAGACCTTACAGCTGGTGTGTAAACCGATACTGGTAGAGTGATGGGAAACCTAGAAACATAGCCTGGTTGTGTAACCAGCAGACCAGTTTCTGGAGGAGCCAAGGGACGTAACTCTGCATTCTACAGCTCGGCCAACACTGTCCCCTCTACAAATAAAGTGATTTCTTTTGAATTTGTTTGTTTGTTTGTTTGTTTATGCTTGTTCTGTTAGCTGAGAGGACCGAAGGCTCAAGGTATACCTGTCTGAACAAGTGTTTCATGACAACTTGCACTTAAGGCAAGGTTCAGTCTGACCGGCTGATATAATGGTTCATGGAACATTGGCAGACAAGCATGACATCCAATTGGAACAGCAGTATTAAACCTGTCAGATTTATCACTCTCGCAGTGACGCTGGTTTCATATGTATAAAATAATGCGAGGAGGAACCAAGGGAAGTAACTCTGTGCGTACCGTGTCTCTGATGGTGAAGAGGAGTATGACAAACAGAACCTCTGCTAGGACGATGAGGCTGATCAAGACTGCGTACTGGAAATATAACATGACATATCATGAAGTACACCACGCTGTTTCTAAACATCAACATAAAAGAATCAGTGATCATAATCATATTTATGAAACAATATTTTGTTAGAAACCCATTTTGTATTCTGGAAAAGCACCCGGGGAACTTGCATATAACTGCTTTAGATAATAGACAAAACGGGGTTCTTCTTAAATATCAAAGTTTAAAAATCCAATTCGGCCTTCCAGTTGCAGCAGAGCGAGGGTTTGGACCAATACTAACCCATGGAACCATTGGTAAGAACAGTGTCCACCGACCTAGTTCCAGCTGGCTTCGAATTGGTCCCGACGACCTGCGGTAGTCGGATTCGACTCAATGAATTGTCAAATCATTAAGCAATTTGGCTGTGACGTGTCACCGTATCCCGGTTGCACAGGACGGTGCTCATTAGGTCCGTCACTGGTTTATCTGGTCCGCGCCTCGTTATTTACAGACTGGCGTTACATCGATGAAATATTGTATATGTCAACATACGGGCATCACACACATACACTCACCACTATCAACATACAGCGGACTTTGCAGCAGCCGCCGATGCAGCCGAAGATGCCGATGATGAAGAAGAAGACGCCGAGGAGGATCAGGGCGAGGGTGGCGTCTTTAAGGTAGTCGCCGAGGTTGAAGTTGGAGAGATCCACTGAGTCCCCCCGCCTGTTCCATGAACCGCTGGAGGGCTGTGTATAGATCCTGGAGGTAGGGGTCCAGTATGTCTGACCCGAACCTCACGATACATCCCGCCACCAGGAACACCAACCCGATCACCTACACGGACACACACAGATCGTTAGAACGATTTACAAATTGATGAAAATATGTTTAAATCCTGGGTAAAAATGTTGTATACTTTTGTAATCGCTTTACAAATCCCCTACGTAAACCGGCGTTGTGGGTTTCAATAGTATAAGCGTGAAAACCGTACATTTACTGTCTGTCGATGGCATCTTGCGAACAGAATTACTCTCTTTCTGGAAAGAAATTACCAAATAAACTCAATACACTGAAACTTATATTTTTTTCGATATAAATATATATGCATATTTTTCATTTTATATCAGTGTTATAGCCGGAAGGACTTGAACACGACACTGCCTGCTACTAGAAACTGCAGCAAACCTCTACGAGTTCGCAGATTTTACAAGTAGTGAGACAGTACTTGCTTCTATTCCGACTTCATTATTAAAGTAAGAATCACTTTTAAAGTGTTGATGTGCAGTGACTGCATCTGTATACACGAGCATGATGAACTAAGGGAGGTAACTTTTGGAGTCCTTTTTCCCTGAAGACATATAAGAGAAGCAAGGCACACGTGATGTACTCAGCGAGTTTCGTTTGCGTATGTTAGTTAAGTAACCCTGCAATACGGCCGATATAGACTTTCGGCCCTAGGGGTGATATGGTTGATATAGATTTTCGGCCCTAGGGCTGATATGACTGATATGCATTTTCGGCCCGGGTGGTCAATATGGACATGTGCCGACAGCCAGTATTGTATGTGCAAAATGGTCCATATATGATGCATCGGTATATGAAAATAACTCTTATCGCACACATCACATGGTCTAGTTATCATCGCGATACACGTTATTCACATATATCGTCGTATATCGCCCAGCAGGTCGGATAATCGTTAACGTTATATCGTCACGTAACCATGGTAACACACGTCGTTCACATGCACGGGGAATAACTCACTGTTGATCTGCATACATACCGCAAAAATACCGTTGATGATGACCAGAAAGATCCGACTGCATCCGACTAAAACACCCATGGCTCCGTCTGTCTACCTGTAGGAACACAACAAAGAATGACAGGTAGAGAGTGTCGGGTGACGTCGGTGACCTCTTCCTGGTCCGCCGGCCTTATCTACGTCGGCATGACAGCTGCTAGATGATTACGTCATAAACAGGAGAGTGGTCCACAAAAACTACTCGATAATGTTTAGTATTTGGAAGAAGCTGACCAATAACCTAACTTGTGCTTTTAAGCATACATTAACCACAAAGAGTGGCTATATTCAGGGTGATTCTTCCGAGACCACATTGACACACAGAGGTGACACACACACACACTTTGTCGAGCGCCTGATCTGAACAGTCAAAATAACAAAGCAGGCTGTCCTTATCTCAGACACTTCATCACGATAACCTCACTATTCCGTTACCTAACGAAGACGGAAGGATACAGATAAGAGGATAAACAAGACGGTTGAAATGTCATTGTTATCAGCCAACAGCACTGTGCGTTATGAAGTAAATTAGAAACTGATTGAGTATGTTGTCAATGATGTTTAATGTCGAACTGATATTACATCCCGATTGTCTGCAAGTATCAGTTATCGAACTTTAGCAACAACGGACAAACAATAAACCATGGGGTCGTTGTACAAATTGTTAGCGATCTCAGTACTAAGGCGATCTTCACCCCGACATTTTAACACAGGCGTACGACTGCCGAGGTGCCAAGGCTGCTTGGTGGAAGGGTATTCTGGTCACAGACCCAGTCGACTCGATAATCATTTCGACAAGGCGACACCAACGTCAAGCAGTTGATACTGTGCCCAGTCCCTCAAAGCGCCTTGAAGACCTTTAGTTCAAGAAAAAGATAATGGCTTTAAGTTCGCTTTGTGAAATCGGTCCCTGGATTCTTCCCCGACTCCTAACAAGGGTACCCATCCAGTGACAACCAGAGATTTGTAAAGGATTCTAAACGAACCGACTTTATTGTAGAAAGTTTGATTTTGTTACTGTTCTAAATTTCGGAGAGAGGGGGTGGTGGGGTAGTCTAGTGGTTAAGGCGTTCGCTCTCCACGCCGAAGACCCGGGTCCCCCGCCGTGATATTGCTGGAATATTGCTTAACTCGGTAAAAACCAAAACTCTAATTTCTGAGAAATCGAGATATTTTTTAACCAAACTTTACCACCGTTCGTCTTATCGGGCTCGGAGCAGATGCAGATAAATCCCTGTGCAAGGTCAGTCAGTTTGTGTACCTAGCACCCCAAGATCCAGGAAGTGTAACATGAAGTTAAACATTGTGCAACACGAACAAAGAATGTACCCACACAATACCCCGTCGACAGTGAGGAAAAGACACTACGCTTGTCAGGCTGTCAGCGAGCACGTGAATTACCCTATTTTTTATGCATAACAGTCCCACCCAACTAACTTACCGTTAGCGCCGGCCTCCAATAGGTGCCGGGGTTAAAGCAACTGTTCAAGAAATAAGCGCAGGGTCTCCAATAAGCGCCGGATCTCTAATAAGCGCCGGGTCTCCAATAAGCCCCGGGTCTCTAATAAGCGCCGGGTCTCTAATAAGCCCCGGGTCTCCCATAAGCGCCGGGTCTCTAATAAGCGCCGGGTCTCTAATAAGCGCCGGGTCTCCAATAAGCGCCGGATCTCTAATAAGCGCCGGGTCTCCAATAAGCCCCGGGTCTCTAATAAGCGCCGGGTCTCTAATAAGCGCCGGGTCTCCAATAAGCCCCGGGTCTCTAATAAGCGCCGGGTCTCCAATAAGCCCCGGGTCTCTAATAAGCGCCGGGTGTGCCACATGTTTACAAAGGAGTTTTCAAATAGAATACTAATGGTATTTACTAATACTAATAAAATCTATATATATATCCGTTGAAACTTTAAGCGCCGGGTCTTCAATAGGTGCCGGGTCTGAGAGTTTGCTGAATTAATAAGAGCTCAGGCACTTAATACAGTGGATGTGTTAATTAGTATAGAGTACTACTATACTATAGAGTATATAGTATACTTTATTTGTTTTCTCATTTTAGTTGTTTCCTCAATTTCAGCTTTGTTTTATGTCCTACTCTTCAGTTAAAACTTATCTTATCCTCAAGAAAGATCTGGCAAAAGTTATTACAACTTACAATACCCCCACCCTTTGATGTACATCTATGTTTATTTACAATGTATACATTAACGACAGAAAGGAAAGAATCTGTGTTTAGATTGTTACAAGACACATAGATTGTTGACGTGTGGTCCCAGCCACAGATTACACTGACATTGTTGTGAATGTCTTGAAATGCACGATTTTGTCGAATGGCCAACAGTTTAAACGCAGTCGACTGAGATTGTGAGAGGTATGCCTGTTAAAGTCAACCTGTGATATACCTGTTAAAGTCAACCTGTGGTATACCTGTTAAAGTCAACCTAAAACTTTACTTTCGTGATGTGTAATTTCGTTATAGATGGACATGGGACATGATGTGGATAAGTAGTAAACATACGCAGCGTACAGCATTTCAAAGGGATCAAATAACCACGATCAACTGATACCAATATATTTATACATGAGTGAGAGACATTTCTTTCCTCTAAGAGCATCGATATAGTTTGGCTCTAACAATGGTCATTGGTATGGGGTCCTGAAGATTTATTTAAAACACGAATCTTAATGTTTTTTCTCACTTATAGCAACTTACCAGGTCAAATCGAGGTAAGAGAGTCCAAAACATATTAGACAGCCAATTTTAAATGAGAAGGTGCTATATTCCGTAATTAGCTCCTGGGCTTTTATAGGGGACGTCTTAAACATTGAATGACTTTATACGTGAAACACTATCGATCTTGAGCTCAGCCATGTTTGTCGTGCTATTTCTTACACTGAGTTGTCGGAGAAATAAGTATGATGTTTATCTCAGTACTGGTACGTGTTCATTGTTTATCTGCACCAAGCATTACCTGCACGAGCTGTACTAGTCGGTACAACTTTAGAAAACTCTACCTGGGGTCAGGAGACGCTACTGTATGGCTATATGTCTACCAGGTACTATTTGTACACCGCTATGAGGAAGTGAGTGTCGTCGCATACTTCACTGGTCGCCTCAGATGACTAGGAGCGTCATATTCCATCGATAATGTAACTTCCTAGTTGCAGTTAAAGTTATAACACCGACTGACTCCCCTGGTAGTAGCTATAACATCGACTGACTCTCCTGGTAGTAGCTATAACACTGACTGACTCCCCTGGTAGTAGCTATAACACTGGCTGACTCCCCTGGTAGTAGCTATAACACTGACTGACTCCCCTGGTAGTAGCTATAACACTGACTGACTCCCCTGGTAGTAGGTATAACATTGACTGACTCTCCTGGTAGTAGCTATAACACTGACTGACTCCCCTGATAGTAGCTATAACACTGACTGACTCTCATGGTAGTAGCTATAACACTGACCGACTCTCTTGGTAGTCGCTATAATACTGACTCTCCTGGTAGTAGTTATTACACTGAATGACTCTCACGGTAGTAGTTATTACACTGACTGACTCTCCTGGTAGTAGCTATAACACTGACTGACTCTCTTGGTAGTAGCTATAACATCGACTGACTCTCTTGGTAGTAGCTATAACATCGACTGACTCTCCTGGTAGTAGCTATAACACTGACTGACTCCCCTGGTAGTAGCTATAACACTGACTGAATCTCCTGGTAGTAGCTATAACACTGACTGACTCCCCTGGTAGTAGCTATAACACTGAATGAATCTCCTGGTAGTAGCTATAACATCGACTGACTCTCCTGGTAGTAGCTATAACACTGACTGACTCCCCTGGTAGTAGCTATAACACTGACTGACTCCCCTGGTAGTAGCTATAACACTGACTGACTCTCCTGGTAGTAGCTATAACACTGACTGACTCCCCTGGTAGTAGCTATAACACTGACTGACTCTATAACCCTGGTAGTAGCTATAACACTGACTGACTCCCCTGGTAGTAGCTATAACACTGACTGACTCCCCTGGTAGTAGCTATAACACTGACTGACTCCCCTGGTAGTAGCTATAACACTGACCGACTCTCTTGGTAGTAACTATAACACTGACTGACTCCCCTGGTAGTAGCTATAACACTGACTGACTCTCCTGGTAGTAGCTATAACACTGACTGACTCTCCTGGTAGTAGCTATAACACTGACTGACTCTCATGGTAGTAGTTATAACACTGACTGACTCTCCTGGTAGTAACTATAACACTGGAATGACTCCCCTCTTAGTAACTATTACACTGACTGACTCTCCTGGTAGTAGCTATAACACTGACTGACTCCTGGTGACTCTCTCACGGGAGTAGTTAGCTTACACTGACTGACTCTCCTGGTAGTAGCTATAACACTGACTGACTCTCCTGGTAGTAGCTATAACACTAACACTGAAGTAGCTATAACACTGAACTCCCCTGGTAGTAGCTATATCACTGAATCTCTGGTAGTAGCTATAACACTGACTGACTCTCCTGGTAGTAGCTATAACATTGACTGGCTCTCCTGATAGAAGCTATAACACTGACTGACTCTCCTGATAGTAGCTAAAGCACTGGCTGACTCTCATGGTAGTCGCTATAATACTGACTGACTCTCATGGTAGTAGTTATTACACTGACTGACTCTCCTGGTAATCGCTATAATAACGACTCTCCTGGTAGTAGTTATTACACTGACTAACTCTTATGGTAGTAGTAATTACACTGACTGACTCTCATGGTAGTAGCTAAAACATTGACTGATTTTCCTGTGAGTAGCTATAACATTGACTGACTCTCCACAGTGTGTGAAGCCCATTTTTGTGTTCCCCGCATTGACATTGATAGGATATTCATAAGAGCAGCGTAAGATAGTAGCAGTAGCAGCAGTAGCAGTAGTAGTAGTAGTAGCAGTAGTAGTAGTTTAGTAGTTTGTTGTCTAGCTAGTAGTTTGTTTGTCGTCTAGCGCCACGCTCAGCAATCTTCCAGCCTTATGGCCGCGGTCTGAAAATAATCGGCCTACCTTTAGAATA